ACATTTACAGAGCTTAATTAGTACGAACTGTAATTGTTCATGGTCTGCCAGAAGAAGTAATGTTCAGGAAAAGTGGAGTCCTTCTCTTGCAGTCTTCAGTTTGAAACCGATAAATCACTTGCATATTTGTGTAGTGATTCAAATGGAGCTAAGACCTCTCCCATCCCAACATGTGGTAAATTGTAAAGTCAATGAATTGCAGATGTAGGCTACAGTGATATTCTCTAAGAAAATGCAGAATGAATGGGGAAGAGTGATGCTATAAATATTTACGGAGAAGATAACTAGGTTCCTGCTTGCTGGGCCAATTATGATGCACTAAATATATTAGTAAAATGCTTAAGAAATCGAGAGGATTTGTGTGGGTCTTTGGGTGGGTTGGTTTGTTTTGGAGAGTGAAATAAAAGGCAGCATGTTATTGCCATGTCAGTTTTATGAAGCTTGAATCACAATGGCATCCCCGCGGAAGGACACATGAAACCCACATTAATGCAAATTAATTCGTTAGGAGTTGCAGGCTGTGACTGCTAAGTGGAGCAATGATGTGGCATCATTTTAAGAGTGTTAGTGTAGCAACTTTTAATGAAAAATGCTGTGTTAGGAACATGTCTCAGCGCTTCAGCGCACTGTTTTTATATGCAAGAAGTGCATTTTGCACCAGAGCCTGAAACTTGATTGACTTTAGTTCTCCCCTCCTCCACAGTCGAAGGACTTTATGTTTTGAATGGTTAAAGGAAATCGTTAATTTTTCCTGAAAAATCAACCCAGAAATGCTTATCACCAAGTTCAACTTCATTTTTTATTTTTATTTTGGGCAACAGATTGTAGCCCAAAGTGGAAATAACAGTGTCTGTTGCATCCTTCTATAGACCTTTAGATGCAACTTTCTCCAAGCAATTTTTTTCTTTCTTATTTTTTTCCTTCTTAGAGGATTTTGGTCTCAGGCAATGTTGCAAGCCAATACTTCTTTCCCCAAATGTGAGTAGGTGGATGTGTATGGAAGCTGTAAAAGTTAATGATCGTTCTCTGACTCATGGCTGATGGTTTCAGGTTGAGGAAAAGAAAAGAAAAAATTAATGAGGGTAAATAGACATTTGATGGAACACGGAGACAGTGGGAGAGATTGTTCTTGCTTCTGAAGGCATATGCGTTTTGTTGTAGCAGAATTTCTGAAGGAGAATGCCAGGAAATGAAAAGGGGGGGGATGCCTTTGTTAAGTTGCTGTTTTAGGATGTTACAGATGTTATGGGTCTGGATCTTTGCAGGAATGTTTAGACCTGGTGCCTATGGGGTCAGTGCTGGTTTTGCCTTCCCTGGGGCGAATGAGGCCCTCCTGGCACTTTTTAGGGGAGCAGGTAAGACCCAGAGCCTTCCCATGAACTGTAAGCGGTTTCAGCTTTGGAACAGGGGTGCTATCTCTGTCCTAAGAAACGTCCAGTGTGCTAAGAAAAAGCCTGAGCTTAAAAAAAAAAAGGGATTCTGTCTTTTAAGTAAAGACATGGAAGTTAAATTGCCTGTGGCTCCTGGTGGTGGCTCTAGCGGAGCAAAGAAAGTGAAACTCCTCCCCTTCCCAAACCAATGCCTTTTAGGAAACTTATTTGGGTTTTCCTTTTTGCATGCAAGAGAAAGGCAGGTGATTCATAAAACTGAAAATACAGCAAATGCTCACTTCTCCATTTAGTGCACTGAAAAGGCATACAAAATTAATCTTTATCACTCTGGACATTCACTTAGTGCTGGAAAAACCAAGATGGGCTTTCTTTCCAGGGTTTATTGTTGCCTTGGAGAATGAGAGCTTCCTACAGTTGAATTGTTTCCCTTTCCCATCTCTGGATATTTCTAATGTCTTATATTTGATGTCAAATTTAGGGCCAGTAGCAGTGATCAGAAATAAGGTGAGAGAAATCAAGGTACGATAATCAGAGGGGAAGTGGTTAATCAGCTGCTGGTGGTTTTTCAGCTGCAGGAAAATTGTGCGGATCTGTGCTGAGTGTGGCCACATCTTCACACCTTTCTTTGGACACGTGAAGACCGTGTCACCTGGGGCTGTTAGAATGGGTGGGCTTGGCTGCCGTCTGCTGTCAGCGCATACACGTGGGAAGGGAAGGTTTGTTGACTGTTTCACAGGAAGAAATGAAAAGTACCTTGGCGAATGTTCTCACTTGTTGACTGTGCAGGCCACCCCAGGGAGGCGGGCACTGTATTAGGGGCCACTGTATTTCCTGCTCAGCGTGTAGGCAGGAAAGTGACTGTGGCTGGTGACCCGAGCATTTGGGAGCATTTGGGAGCTTGGCGCTTCGGAGGTGAGGCATCCATAGCTCCTTGGGGCTCCACCTCCCCCCATCTTCCCCCAAACAAAGGACCTACCCATCCCCCGTTCCCGCCGTCCTTACAGCTCTTTATAGAGATATAAATAAATTATTGTTCCTGATTAGAATGCCAAGTCTTTCCTGGGATCTTATATTTTATCTTTGTCTTAAAAAGCTAGACTATAACGAACAAGGCATCTTTGTGTTTTACAGGGAAGGAAAAAGCAGTTAAAAGGTGTTTTAGAAAAGAGTATTTGAGAAAAGAGGGGGTGGAAACCAAAGGAGAAACAAGAAAATTGTAAGTCTCCCTGGCGGTAGCTGGGGAAGTTTAGCCCAAAATCTCTCTAGCACAGGGGTTCCCGGCTGGGAGTGAGAGTCTGATTGGAGCTCCTTGTGCTGTGTGTATTTATGAGCTGGTCCATGTTAGCCCGTGTGGCTGGACACCTAAGAAGGGGGGCTGCATTGCCTGGAGGTGTTAGAAGGAGGGGTGTGTTGCATGTCTGAAGGTTAAATTAACTTTGTCCTACTGGGTTCTTAAGGACCTTACAGCTGCATTTTGACTGTTTTAATTGCAACATTCTCTCCAGGGTATGTTGTTTGGTGGTGATGAGTGCGAGGATTAAGAATGGAACCGGACAAGTGAAAATTGAATTTGGATTAGCCACAGTTTCATTAATTTATTCATAAGACTGTGATTATATGACTTTTTTTTTTCCACGACCTGTACTTAGTTTTCAGGTGTCCATTCAATTTTAATTGACAATCTGAGATTCCCGTGGTTACCCAGAGTGCGGATTGCCTAGGGCTCCGCAGGCTTTGTGGGAAGAAAAGCTTGGACAAGTTTCCATTAAGCTCTGAATCAGGCAGTTAGAAAAAAAAAAGCGGAGAATAAAACTGGGCTGCAAAGGGGGACAAGTGTTTAGTGTTGCCTTCTCCATGTAGGAGAACTGGCCCCCCCCCCCCCCCCCAGCCAGGAGAGCTTCGGCCAAGAATTTCAAACTCGCAGAGAAACCTGTCCTGAGCACAAAAGTTGTTTTAACATGATGGAGAATTGTCACAGTAATTAGTGCGATCTCCGCTTTCTGACTGGCAGTTTTGACAAAGAGGGTGGGGGTGTAGGCGGCGAATTCATCTCTTTTTCAGCAAGTTGCTTCTGTGAATGTGGGGGCTCCGTGGGGTCACGTCTTCAGTCCCTCAGTGTTTACCCTGCAGTCGTAGGCAGTGAGCTTCCTTAGGCTGCTTTACACATGTTAGTATTTTTTACCCGTCTTTTAACTTGTATAAATACTGTGTTTTGGGACACGCTAACTTATAATATGTCTAGGAACTGTTGGGGGCAGAGAAAATGATCTCAGCTCCCACTTTGTCCTAAAAATGCGTAACCGCCTTAGCCTGTGAGCAATATGGATTTCCACATTTAAAAAATAGATGGTTATTGTTTTGTGTTTCTTTTGAGTCGGTTGAAAAGTTCTTAGGTGGATTTATGTTTTTAAAAACCTCTGTGAACAGAATGATTTTTCTTGTAGGGGGCAAACTCGGGAATAATTGGATCAAAAAGTCAGTGGCAGCCTGGGATACACTTGGGTACAGCGATACAGAGTGTTTTTAAGAGCGGTTGTAGCCGAGTGATAGCAAGCCATAGCTTGTCACAAGGTAGACCTGTGCTTGGAAATGTACCTGATTTACCTCTTGCTGTCAGAGGGATGGGCAGCGATTTCTGCTGGACCAGTGAGTTTTTTCAGGTGCTGTTTGTTCAGAGATGGCAAATAACGCACATTTTTGGGTCTGGTTGAGACTCCCTGAGTGAAGATTGTATGCATTGTGAACACCGGCAGGTGAAGTTTGCTTTCCCACATGTCATTTGGGAAAGGAGAATTTGGTGAGGAATCTGGGGACAGCACCCCACTTTCTGGGTGGGTGGCTTTAGAAGGCAAGGCCAGGGAGAGACTTCCACCTTTTGCTCTGGACAGACCGAGTGATCTGGTGACACACTGTAATTGCAGGGGCCATCAAATTGGTGGTGCTTAGGGAAGTCGGAGCGCCTGGCGATGGCTGGCTCCCTCTTTGGGGAAGTGTGGGCTCCTAGAATGCGCAATGTCCCGGGACAGACAGCTTAGTCATCTTGCAAGAATGTATAAGTAATCGGGTGGCCCCTGATTCTGCCTGACACATGTGTTTTCCCCAAAATAGAATTGCATTCGAGAGCAAGAGCCCAGCTATTAGGAAGGGGGCGGGGGCCTGTACCTGTTGGCAGCCTTATTGCTTCTCGTCACCTCCTCCGGTCCTTCCCTCCTGCCTCCCTGTCGCAACGCTGATGACTTTTGCAGCACACAGTTAATTTTTCTGCAGCATCCTGCCCAGCACACTGGCTTCCTTTATGTCTTAATGGGCACCCGTCTTCCTTTTCATGTCATTGATTCTCACTCCTCGCCCCTCCCCCACCCTTGTTGCTTATTCAATAGGCGCTTTTTTTTTAAAAAATAAAAAACCGTTTCCTTAGATGATTATGATCATCTTGCCCATAGCAACACATAAAAATACACAGGTCTTGATTGAATGCCAAGACTGCAGCTCCATCTAGGAAGGGTTGTCTGCTATTCATAAACTGCTTAAGATGTTTCCTTGTAGTTTGTGACATAAGCAGAACGCTTTGATTTGGTTTCTTTCTACAGCTCCATTTTCAGTCCGGGAGCACACATTACTCTGCGTACAAAACGATTGAGCACCAGATTGCAATTCAGGTAGGAAACGCAAGAGATCCTGAAACTTGACTGATCACAATGTAGGTCTCTTGTGTGTTTTTATTTTCCGCCCCTTCCCCCCACCTAGATGATGATGATGATGGTGATGGTGATGATGGCGATTGATGATGATGGTGGTGCTGATGGTGGTGGTGGTGGTTGATGCCTTGGGGGAGGTGGGCAGCAATGAAGAGCCAAGAGTAGAAGAAATGCTTCTAGACTGACTCAAGTCTGGGAAGCCTGTGCTTTTTGGATAAGAGTTTCTTTCTTGATCTTTCACAATGGACACGCACACAGACCCCTGACTCGGCTACTGCTTGCTGCTTACTCGGGGTGTGGTGTTTCAAATGGGAAGTAAAATGTGGCGACAGCACGTGGATGGGGAGACTCCAGGTGGGAGACGCAGGGGCCAGGAGGCCCTGTGACAGCAGAGGTGTTTCCGGTGGATCCAAATCGTGTTAAGTGGTGCTAAGAATATCACTTCTGACCCGATTGTCCTGAAATGTTGACTTCTCTCGGACCTGTTGATATACGACGCTAGAAGTGCTGGAAGGGAAAGGCGACAGATCCCGGCTTCTGATGAGTGTCCTGTTTCCTGCTCACGTAGAGCTTCCATTCTCTTTAATCCAAAGGCTAAACAAATCACGGACCAATATAGACTCGGAGTTGAACAGATGCCAGCAGAATGCACCCGTGGAGGGGAGCAGACTAATAGGATTTTCATCTGTCTGCCTGGCTTCGCCTGGCCTTGCCAGGGTGAATGTATCTCATGGTGTAACTAATGGTTCGAAACTTCCTGCGTGTTCTGGGTTAACCCTTTGAAGGAGGCTTTTGAAACCCGTCATGTTACCGGCTGGCGCTTAGGTCTTCCTTTCTTGGCAGTTGATGTTGGCGGGCTAGAGCTACACTTTCTTCTGTTGCTCCTTTCTCATCCTCTCTCACCATGTTCGTGGCCGCGTGGGACTGCAGCCACGTGGTGTGTTTGTAGCTCTGCTGTTCCGAAGCTGCACCTCCCTGCGTAAGGCTTCCTGGGTGAATGGCGAATCATTCCACCAGTGCAAAGAAGGACTCCGCAGACATTTTTATCTGCAGGATCCCTAATGCTGTGGCACTCATTTCAAGGTGACAGCAGCATTTAAAATATTATTTTGAATACTGCTGTAGTGCTGTTGATCTACTGGGTGTGTATAACAGGGGATAGTGTGACCCTGACTTAACCCTTTCGTCCCCAGATATTTTCCAGGCCGGTACCTTTAACTGGCTGTTGCAGTGGTCCTTGCTGGCACACTTCCTACTGGTCCATCCTTCCCTTTGACTAATGGCCCTTGGAGTCTTGCCCTTGGAAAAACGGCTTGGGCTCAGAGATTGGCTAGATTAACATCTAGCTGTAATTTTAGTGTGATCATCAAAGGATAAATGGCGAAAATGATGAGTCTTTTTTTTTTAAGATTTATTTATTTATGTATATAAGAACTGGGTTACAGGCCAGAGCTGTGGGGGTGGTGGTGAGAGGATTCACCAGAGACAGAGTGGGGAGCAGAACAGGCGGACCTACTGAAACACACTGCAGTGGGTGAGACCGGAGAGGTCTGCTGCACCATGTGGGTCAGCTCCCTCATTGGGGATCGAACTCATGCTGTGGTGGCTGGTGATCGCACCTTAGCACTAGGTCTTTAATACCTTGCGCCACCAGGGAGGACCCCAAATGCTGAGTCTTGATGAGGAGTCAGTAGATGTACAGGTCATGAGGCCTGCTCTGTCTTGGGCAGTGCTGGAAAATCCTGTGAGCCAGGGTGTGGGAATTGCTGAGGTTGAATAGCATAGTGATGTCTATCTCTGTGGAAGGGCTGGCTGGGGCCATGGCACGGGAGACCAGCCCAGCTCGACTATTGTCTCTTTACACCCAGAGTTGAAGTGTCCCTTGTTAGGCACTTGTTAGCCTGAGCCATGGCTCTTTCTCCAAGCCACCTGGCACAGTGCAAGCCATGTGAAGCCTTCTCGGGGGAAGATGGAGTAAATTACAGAACTCATTGTTTGGGGACTGAAACCATTGCTGTTTCTCTGTGAACAGGTAGTATTGTTCTCCCCCACTTCTCTGTGGTCAGGGCTTGATGCCCATGTGGGCAAACAGAGAGACAGTTGATGAGAGCCCCAACACCGGCATGCTTTCAATGTTCCTTCTCCCCGATCACTGCTAGACCAGGACCGGCCAAGTGGCTTCTCGCTGTAATTTTAGTGTGATCATCAAAGGATAAATGGCGAAAAATACCCCAAATGAAACAAGGACGAAAGCCAAAACTAAAAGAAGCAAGAGGAGAAAGAGGAAACCTCAGACACAATAAGATCACTCCTGAGGCCCGTGGCGGCTGGCTGGAGGGTGGCTGAGAGTAGGGAGAGCTCTGCTGGATGCAGGGCACAGCCTGCCTTTTCCCTTCACCCCTTTCTCCAGCTTAAACACGCTGCGATTGTCTGGGCAGAATTTTCTTTCCTGGAAACTTAAAACTGTTTCACCTTCACAAATACTGTATTTCAGTATGAGCTGAGCTTGCTGCTCTCCCAGGCTATATCCTAAAATAACCTCGAGTAGCATGACATCTGCATCACATGCTGTCCGTCCCCTTTCCCTTCCCAGCCCTCCCGTAAACTCAGGCCTCGGCCAAGTGCACCGTCTATATGAATGGCCGCTGGAGACAGGTCATGTTTTTCTGAGAGGTTTGGCTATTATCAGTTGCTGTGTTGCAATCTTCCCTGCTGTTAATCTCTCTTAACTCCTCTCAGTTTTGAAAAGACAAGAGTAACACAAATAGCCATTTTCCCTGACTGGTTTGCACCAATAAACTGAATTGGAAATTAAGAGTTTTTTTTTTTTTAAAAGATTTATTTATTCATACAGAACTGGGGTACAAGCCAGAGATGCGGAGGGTGAGAGGCTTCACCAGAGACAGAGTGGGGAGCAGAACAGGCAGACTGACTCCAAGTACACTGCTGAGGGGAGCAGCGGGCGGGTCAGGAGAGGTCTGCCGCGCCACGTGGTCACCTCTGGGGCAGGCAGGGATCGAACTCATGCGTAAGTGGTTTTAGCTTCTCAGTGCTGTGTTTTAATAACCCGCTGCGCCACCAGGGAGGGCCAAGAGTTTTTTTTTTTAAAGACAGTTATTTCACTCACTTTTATAAAGGTTTGCAGAGAGGTGGAAGTACATTTACACATGACAATCCATGAAATCATCACCCAAGTCAATGTATAGAGTAGCATTGGGATGCTTCTTCTGTAAAGAGCCAGGAGCCAGATATAAATATTTTTGGCTTTGGGGACCATGCAATTTCAGTGGCAAGTATTTGGTTCTGCCTGGAATGAAAGTGACCCAAAAGAATGCCTAATAGAATAGGGATCCTGTATGTCCCCAATACAACAGAAAAACACCAGGCAGTGGCTGGATTTGGTTCATGGGCTATGTTTTCTAATATAATAAAGAATATTACCAACTCTACCAGAAGTTTAGGTTGTTTCCTCTTATTCATATAGTTTCTCCCAGTCACCGCCACAATCCTCACCATGGATTAGTTTTTCTTGTCACTGACCAGGGGTCAGTTCTGCCTGTTTTTCAATATCATGTGAATGGGAGTGTCCAGATGCATATAAATGGGACTCATGTTTGGTCTCCATCAGCATTTTAATCTCAAGTTTCAACCTGTGTGTAGTTTGGTCTTTTTTTGTTGTTAATTTTACTTTGAGATGTGATATGGTAGACTGGTTGAGAATATAGATTTCGGAAATTTATATAGGGGGAAAAACCCCATTGCATGCATGCTGAAATTTCTAGCTTGCATGCATGCTGAAGTTTTCTAACTAGATGCAAGAAAAAGTTGCTTTTTATTGCTGTATAGTATTTCACACCAGAATGTGCCACAATGTATTCTTTCTATGTTGTTGGATATTTGGATGGCTTCCAATATTTGGCTATTATGTGTAGCCTATGTGTAACAAACACATAGCTTTTGGAGGAATATGTGTTCTGTTCTATCAGGTGTGAACTTGGAGAGGCATTGGGTAATATGCCTGTTAGGTTGGCACTGACATTTAGAGAAAGACTTGAACACTGGATATTTTTTTTTTTTGAAGATTTATTTATTCATACAGAACTGGGGTAAAGGCCAGGGATGTGGAGGGTGAGAGGATTCACCAGGGACAGAGTGGGGAGCAGAACACACAGATCCACGAAGTATACTGCTGAGGGGAGCAGCAGGCGGGTCAGGAGAGGTCTGCCTCGCCATGTGGAGCTCCTCTGGGGCAGGCGGGGATCGAACTCATGTGGATTAAGCTTCTTAGCACTGTGCTTTAACCCCCTGCGCCACCAGGGAGGGCCTGAACATTAGATTTTAAGTGTTGTCCTTGAAATGCATTAGCGGAGTGGGGGTTAGGCTTGTGAGTAGTGTGTGTTAGGGTGTCAGTTAAATGCTCTATTATAGCAGTGATCAGAGGCCAGTTTCCCAGGACTCCAGTGCAAGCCAATGAATGGCTCCTGCTTCTAGTGACCCTTCCCACTATCTCTGTTAACCTGGGTGGAGATTTTGCAGGCTGAAAGCAGAGGTGGCCCTTCATTGCAGGTGCCTCCCAGGGATGCCCTGAAGGGCATGGCAGATAAATATTTAGGCATCTCTGTTTCCTCCCTGGAGGAAACTCTTTCCACACTCCCACACTCATCATTGGTCCAACTCCATGAGCAGCATTGTAATCGAGGTCAAGGCCCAGGGACGATGTTTCCCTTGGTTTTTAGAAAGGTTACTTCAGAACAAATTAGACTTCTGTTTTAAGAGTATTTTGGCCAAAGGTTGATGTTTTAACCTTTGTGATTTGGTGGTGGTGGTTGTGGGGGAGAAGTCAGATGTGATTTTGGAGGGGGAAACCCAAAGACTCCACAAGCAACAAAAACAAGCTGTGTGGACCTTCCTTGGTGGTTTTTCTTTTAGATGTGAAGTGGGTGTGTGCTTGTGAGTGTGTG